AGGTAGATAGATAGATAGACTTTTTTTATCCAGTCTAGATTGAGCATCTAGACTGGCTCCATAGCTGAGTACTGTGCACAGTACCTCAGTAAACATGGACGTGCAAGCATCTCTGTGGTGTACTTACTTAGAGTCCTTTTAGTATATATCCAGGTGTAGGATAGCCAGAGCATTTGACAACTCTTTTTCGAGTTTTTCGAAGCCCCTTCATACTGATTTCCATAATGACTACACTAATTTACATTCCCACCAACAGTGTGTGAGGGCTCTGTACTCAGGCTATCCTTGCAGCAGCTACTTTGTGGTTTGTTTTTCTCAATGGTAGCCATTCTGACTGAGGTGAGATGCATCTCAATGTAATTTTGATTTACATTCCTTGATGACTGAAAATAGTGAACGTTTATTCATATATTAATTGGCCATTTGTATAATTTTTCTCTTGAGATTTGTATGTATAGTTCATCTGCTTATTTATGTATTGATTGTTTGGGTGCTTAATCTTAGATATTAATCCCCTGTCAGAATAACTAGCATAGGTTTTTCTCACATTCAACATGTCAGTTTTCTATACTGAGCAATTATCCAGCTCTGCATGGACTCCAGCTTGGTCTCATACAATTTAATTCAGTTCTGACACAAACTACCTCAAGGCAAACACAATTCCATGAAATTGCCTCCCACATCAGAAGCTAATCAAAGCCAGTGAATGATAGGTTACTCATCTCTCTGACAGAGGTAAATCAGCCATTTCAATGACCTTTTCTCGGGACTGACCACTTACTGCACTAGGTCACAGAACTCAGAGATTCACTTTAAAAAGATATGAAAATAAACAACTAAATGAAAGGATGCAGGGCGAGGTCCAGATAGCTCCTGGGAATAGCAGAATCTGACCTTGCTGAATTGAAGTGCATCATCCCAGCACTCGGGCGTGTTCACCAGCCTAGGTCTCCAGACCCCAAACTGGAGAGATGTGATGTGGAGAGTCATTACAACATCAGCATGACGGGCACATCAGCTGAATGTCCACCCCTCACGCTCCCAAAAAGACAGTAAGTGAACTGAGAGCCTTGAGTCCCTGCTCATGGCATGGATTCCAGGGACCAGTTGTCCTGAACCCTGCGGCGTGGTTTCTGATGACAAATTGTCCTACGTCCTGCTGAACTATCAGAAACCCCATCAAGTGGCCTCAGAAGAACAAAATTTCTCCTATACCTTAGCGTGTTCGGGGATTAAGGAGTTCTATGTATATCATGCTCATCATTCAAAAAATAACAGTGAGGGTGCTATGTTAGGAACTGGAAGCTGAGACCAAATGTGTATGTTTTGCTATACCAGATACCACAGCTTTTACACTGCACGGCCCAAGAAACTCGAGTCGGGAAATGAAGGCAAAACAGTGTATTGAACTATCCCTTCCCTGAGGAGCTTTTGTGCAGTGGGTCACAATGCTTGAAGGAGTTGTTTTAGTTCTAATTGTGCTGTGTTTATTATTTTAGTTAGACGACAGAAAAGGAACTGTAGGTGCCCAGTCTTTAACTTATTGTTACATGAGATGGTTTAGGGCTGAAACTCTGGGGAATTTATGCAAGGCAACTGTTTTGACGATTACAGCAAGGAATATCACCTTCTCCTCTGTTTTACACTGGGAAACTCCCACTGCAGCGTAACAGCTTGAAGTTTAAATGTAGTGGCACCCCCATGTGTATGGTACCACATTTAAATGTACCAAGATTCCACATACAGCTGTTGCTTGAGCGGTAGTATTAATTAAGCCCACAAAAGTTTGCTGATTGATATAAGTCAGCAGATGTTAGAAATAATTTAGAATCAACCTATGTTACTGAGGTGCAAAGCTCAAAGGTACCCTTTTTTATTTTTTGATGGATGATAATTGTATAGTAAATTTTGGATTTCCAATATGATCATGTAACTTTTTAAAAATTATGAGTATACTTTCTATGTGAGACAGGAGCCTCCATTCACATGTAAGTTCTTTCTCAGAGTCTCCAATCAGGATCATCACCAGAATGTCACCTCCCTATGACAATGGCTGCTCTACAAAGTCTAAGGACCCTCTGTCTTACATAATCCTTAAATTCATGTTCCTGGCCTCCTGTTTGCTAAGATGTGACTATGCTGAATGACAGCCTTCCACAGACAGTCACTTCAGCCACCAACCCCTCTTCCCTATGAAGCGGTGAGAGGGGATGAGATCCTCCCTCCCTGTTTAATCTGTCAGGTATTTATTTTTGTCACAATGAAGAGAAACATAACTGAGGCCATATTAAACAAAGCATCAGTCTTCTGAGCTTGCTACAGAATGAAACCAACACCCAGGTCCTCCACAGGGTCAGTTCCTCCTTAAAGTGACTCTCAGCTGTGGCTTGCTCCACACTCCTCTGTATTAGGTACTTTCCTGTTGTTGTTATAGAACACCATGACCAGAAGCAATTTAAGAAACAGAGGGCCATTTGAGTGTATGGTTCCAGAGGAAGAGTCCATGGTGGTGAGGAAGACATGGCAGGGTGACAGAATCAGGAAGCCGTGAGAGATGGAGACAGACAGACACAGACACAGAGAAAGACACAGCACAAGTAGCCAAGTGAGATTATAAAGCAAAACAATCAAACAAACAAAAAACCTTATGACGTATTTCCTCCGGCCAGGATTAACTTCCTGAAGGTTCCATAACTTCCCCCAAACACCAACAACAACTGTGGCTCAAGTGTTCATGGGCCCAGAAGAGGAATTTCTTATTCTAACCACCACATTGTTGTATTCATACTGAATTGCATGTCTTGCTTCTAGAATCTGTAATAGAGGCTTCATAATATTCAGCAAATGCAGGCTAGCATAGAAGTGGCATCACAGCTCATAAAAAGAGATGCTCATTAGCCGGAAGGCAGCAGTTCAAAATACAAGTTCATGAGAAGTCAGCAGGACCAATTAGCAAGGCAAAATAAGCCGTAGGGTGTGCTGATCTTTGCTGAAACCCATGCTTGCAGATACCAATGGCTACCACACTAAACGACCAGCTGTAATGTTTACATAAAATTGGTTCAAATGTGGATGGGTGATGCCATACCTGGAGGGAAGGAGAAGACTACTGAAAAAAATGGGGCTTGCTGGGGAGAGGCAGACACACTCTCAAGGAGGTTCATAAATGGTTTGAAAGATCAAGGTGACGCCTGGCCAACAATATTAATGGAGACTGTGCAAGATCCATCATACATTTAATCAAATGGAAGACATGAAAGGAACAGGGATGAGTATGGACTTGAAAAGCTGCTACAAATATCAAAAGTGAAATCAGGCTTCATCACAGGCAGTAAAGTGAGAAGTGTCTCTGCAGGCGCCTTCCTCTGAACTGAAACACTCACTCGCTCCAGGGGGAAGAGGAGAGGCTATGCAAACTCGGGAGGTAACAAGAGTCACAAGTCTGGGAACCCTGAAGCTTGCAAGATTCCCCAGGACCTCTCCCCAGGGCTGTGGAAGCCGTACGCAACTGCTCAAGAGAGACTGACCAGCAAGCTGTAGAGCGCTCTCAGGGACTGTGAGGACACTCTTGAGTCATCCTTGTTCCTGCAAATAACACTTCACTCCTGTTAGTGACCCCAGTAAAAACTCAGTGGTTCACCAAGTTGGACTCTGGTACAATCATTACTTAAGTCTGCTATGGGTTCCTTTTCTAGGGTGAGTGCATGTATGTTTTACACCTCCCTAGGAAAGATTTGTCACACACACACACACACACACACACACACACACACACACACACACACACACACACTTGTCTCTCATTGATTGCACCAGTTTAAAACCTAATGCACGTGTTTTTGATGATTCTTGTTTTCTCATTTGCCTTAATGGTTGATATGGTTTCCTTCCAGAGTGTTGAAATCTGCCGGGCTTGGTAGTCCAGTCCTGTACTCACCCCAGCACTTGGCAGGTAAGGGCGGGTAGACTTACTCCAACCTGTTTAATTTCACTCCTTCTCTTATGTGGACTCCGACTCGAACACCCCTCATCCGTCTGCACTTCTCTTTCCTCACAGTTTTGTCCATTCCTCTTCATAATCCCCCCAAACTCAGAGCATCTGAAACAGGAAACCATGCTCAAACTCCAGTCAAGCTAACCTCTAATTCTTTAGGAAGTTCTGTCTCTTTGCCCAGAAAGGAGTGATTAAAAATAAGGTGCAAAAAGTTGTATTCAGGGTCAGGACATGATGTCAAATGATTCAGCACAAGATTCATTTCAGAACAAGTGATATTTTTCCCCTTCATCTTTTTTCCTCATTGTCCTTCTAGAACAATCATTGCTTTCCTCTTTTGTTTATACTTCACCCATCTTTCCTCCTCATCTTTCCTTCCTGGCTTTATGCCTTCCTTTTCCTGTCTCTTTCGATTTTTCATTTCTCTCTCCTCTTTCTCCTCCCTCTCTGGTTAGTGTGCAGTGGCTGAGTCACTCTGGAGTATAAGAAGCCGTCGGTGCTCAGTCCAGAAGGTGAGCACTAGAGACGGAGAGGCTCTCGGTTCAGAACCTGCCAGAAGCAAAGATGGAGCAAGTGAGCCTGGCCACGAAAACACCCAGCAATGTAAGTCGGGGTGAGCTGGGAACGTAGTCTCCGAAATGGACATAATTAGTATTATGTATAGCTTACTATTTATGGCTTTGTTGAGAACGGTCGTATTTAGTAGTAGGTATACTTTACTATTTATGGCTCTGTTGAGAATGGTCACATTTAGTAGTTGGTATACTTTACACTTAAGGCTCTGTTGAGAATGGTCATATTTAGTAGTTGGTATACTTTACTATTTAAGGCTCTGTTGAGAATGGTCACATTTAGTAGTAGGTATACTTTACTACTTAAGATTCTGTTGAAAATGTGCTTTGTATAAAGGAAGAACTCCTGGTAATCTGCAAGTCAGTTTTAGAGAATTTCTATCAAAAATATCACAATAAAATAAGAACTGTTATCATCTAAAGAAACAACTTAGAATTTTACCCAAAAGAGGAGATACTATAATCACAAAGGTATTTTTTCCAGGGTGAGGCTCATCCATTGCACTCTAAATATGCTGCCCCTTATCATTTCCTGAAATTTGGGGAATTGTGTAATTAATGACAATAGGGGACTGTGTTCCCATTTTTCCCTTATTTTTGTGTTAAAAAAAGCAACTTAATACTGAAAAGTTTATAAAAGGTATGTTTAAATTCTTATCTTCAAAATACCTATTAATAAAGGAAAAATCAATAGAGGAAACCAAAGATTGAATTGTATGGAGATTTACAAACTAAAATGAAAAAATGTTATAAGACAGAGGAAGTAAGTTATGATGCAAATTAAATGTTCTACATTATATTTCACTAGGATGAACTTGGGTTAGAAAAGTAAGATGGCCAGTGTTTCTCATTTTACTTCCAAGGTGTTGCTTGTCTTTTCTTAAAAGGTTCTTTGCACAATAGATTCTAATCTCTAAGTAAGTAATCAATATTAGAAAGTATAATATAGGAATTTAAACTCAGAGAGCAGAATTGGGCTTCATAAACCAATACTGATACTTTGTGACATTTTAAATACAGAGAAATCAACTAAGAATTCAATCAGCTCTCTGGAGCTAAAAGAATGTATAATATGCACGTACATGTGTATATTTAAATACATATACACATATGTGTGTAGATGTGAACTCATCTTGCATTATAACATTTTGTTTAAAATTTTATTTTAATCAGACATAAAAAAAGATACAAGTGATTGTTCCAATGAATAAGTAGACTATTTTCACCTCAAAAGGAGATAAGCAGGATGGCTGCTCACTGTAGTAGATATAATTTGACTCCATATCTCACCTGTTTCTAGTTCATTAGCAGTAAGGTACCTCATCACTTCATTTTTTAATTTGTATAGGTCATCACATGCAAGGCAGCTGTTGCCTGGACAGCAAATGCCCCTCTGTCCATTGAGGAGGTTCAAGTTGATCCACCAAAGGCTGGCGAGGTTCGAATTAAGGTAAATATAAATGATGATACATTGAGTAGATGTGGATACATATATGTTTAGGAAACAAATTTGTTTAGGAAACAAATCATATTCTATATTAAAGAGAGCTAAGACTTCCTATGGTTTATACAGATTGGAATTAGCATATAGTAATAGTGAGGTTGCTGCATTTTGTTAAAATGTCACAAACCTAAAACATATAAATACTAAGTGGCCAGGATTATTTTTAAAACACTAATGTTTTTTATATTTGAAATAAGGATAAGGAAGTGGCTCAGTGAAGTCACATAAAGCCAGGCAAGAGGCATGTATTTGTGACTGGGAGCTGGAGATGGGAGAATCCCCAGGACTTTCTGGCCAACCAGTGAAGCCAAAGTGATGAGCCTCTGTTTCAGGGGGGTCCTTGTCTCAAAATAGAAGATATCTGGACTTCAACATCTGGCGCACATGGGTGCACACACACCACAAACACACAGGAAGTCTCTCTCTCTCTCTCTCTCTCTCTCTCTCTCTCCCACACACACACACACACACACACACACACACACACACACACACCATAAACACATATGATAAGATAAAAGGTAGATTATTGAATCTGCTTTTTAAAATGAACTACTTGTTTTAAATAGGATAAGAAATGAATTTTTTTGTCTGAATCTGTCAAATGTGAATGGACTAGACATTGTTAATGTAATTCTTGACTGTATATATTGTATATACTTTTTATTACATTTGTTATAACTTTTTCATTTTAAACAAAAAAGGGGAAATGTGGCTGATATATTGTACACCCCAATAAACTTATCTGAAGGTCAGAGAACAGAACAGCCACTATATTAAACATAGCTTTAGGCAGTGGTAGCACATGCCTTTAATCCTAGCAATCCAGAGGCAGAGATCCATCCAGATCTCTATAAGTTCAAAGCCACACTGGAAACAGCCAGGCATGGTGACACATGCCTTTAATCCCAGGAAGTGATGGCAGGAAGCAGAAAGGTATATAAGGCATGAGGACTAGGAACTAGAGGTTCTTTTAAGCTTTTAGGCTTTTAACAGCAGTACACTGAGATCCATTCAGATGAAGACTCAGAGACTTTCAGAGGAAACAAGATCAGCTAAGAAGTTGGCAAGGCAAGGCTGGATGTGGTTTGTTCTGTTTCTCTGATCTTTCAGTGTTCACCCCAAAACCTGGCTTTGGATTTGTTTTTATTAATAAGACCTTTTAAGATTCGTGTTACACACATACATACACAGAAAGTTCTCTTTCTCTCATACACACAGGAAACTCACATACACACACAGGAAAGCTCATGCATACACACACACACACACACACACACACACACACACACAGAGAGTAAGATTTGTGAAAATCAAAACAACTGTTGGTCCCTAAACCTCCGTTTTCCACAATTACAGAGCTATTCTGATATATAGCTATTGAATGGCTGTAGGTGTCCTCCAAAACTTGTGTTGAAGTCTGATTGCCAATACAGTGATTCCAGGACAATGTCTCTAAGAAGTGAGTGTGTAGATTGTGGGACCTTTGCCCCCATGAATGGATTAAAGCTGTCTCTAAGAAGTGAGTGTGTAGATTGTGGGACCTTTGCCCCCATGAATGGATTAAAGCTGTTACTGTAAGAAGGGATTACTTACAGACTCCTAATAAAGACATGACGATGCACCCACCTACCTCTCTCTGTCACACACATTCACCTGTTGTTTGCCTGTTGTAACATGAGAGACAACATGAGAGACACCATGCTCTTAGATCCAGATTCCACAGCTGTGAGCCAAATAAACTGAGAGGTTAAGGATGACATAATCGGTGATATTCTGTTACATCAGTAGAAGACAGACTCAGACAAAAGTAGATGCTCTGCTGTAGCAGGAGTGACGAAGAGGCCCAGGCTCCCTCTCCCACACTGGTTCACTGACAGATTCTCCACTCCAGCTATGACAGACCTATAGTACTAGGGAGGAACTGGCTGACTTCCTCCCTATTCTCATCAGTAGGAAAAGTTTGCTCTAGTAGGGCCAGGTGAGTTCTGAGTCTGCTCCAGCTGCCGTCACAGAATGCCACTGTTCATGTGCTTTAAATGAGATTTATTTTCTCACAGTTCCAGAGTCTGGAAGTCTTCTAGATGAGGACACCAGCATGGCTGGTTCTGATGAAAGCTCTCATCCTGACTTAGATAGATGCTCATTTTCTTGCTGTACCTTTATATGAGAGAGAGAGAGAGAGAGAGAGAGAGAGAGAGAGAGAGAGAGAGAGAGAGAGAGAGAGAGAACGTAGAAAGGAGGAAGCGGCCTGGTCTCTTTCTTCATAAAGACAGAAGTTCTGAATCCATGGCTTCATCTGAAGCTGACTACCTCCCAAGACCTCCACTTCCAAATGCTATTACACTGGGGGCCGCCTGGGGCCACCACATGTAAAAGGCAAACAGTTCAGTTGATAGCAAGAGCTCACACTGTCATTCCCCTGCTCGTGCGGAAGAGGTGTCACTTTGGGGGAATAAGTCACTACCTTCACCCAACTCTTCTACACCATACCGATGTTCTAACCACAGGAAGAGGCAAGTAGGAGGCCTCCACACTCCACAGTTCTGTTAAGGGGGCTAACTTTGTTTGGAAAAGAGTGTGGGAGGACTCATACCTTGAGAAGTTACAAAAACGAAGAACTGTTTGGGTATTTTAGGGTTATTTGACTCTCAGTTTCCAAAGTTCAAGAATGTGTTGCTAGTATCTAACTAGCTTCTGACAAGGAACTCAGGCTCTCTTACAATGAGGCAGAGAAAGGAGAGTACTTAACTCTCTCGGTAACTAATTCAGTCTTGCTAGACCTAATTCATTCCCATGACACTTAATCTAGTCTCCTTTTTAAAGATGTATTTCATTTTTAAAGTGTGTATATGTGTCTGCGTATCTGTGTGCACTTGTGTGCTGGTGTCCCCAGAAATCATGAAAGGATATCTGAGACACTGAAGCTTGAATTACAGACAGTTATGAGCTACCCAGCTTTGGTGCTAAGAACCCAAACTCAGGTCCTCTGCAGGATCAGAAAGCATTTGTAGCCTCTCCATCTAGTCTCTTGAGAAAGACACTAAGCCATTATGAGAGTGATATGCTAGACCCATCCATCAAAGGCTAGCTTTCAGTACCTGTTTCCTAGGGGAGTGAGAGTCTAGCATGTGAACCTCTCGGGGAGCAGACCATGCCCAAACCATCTCCAAGACCTTGGTGATAAGCAACTAAGAGAGTACTGGAAACTCTTGTGAGTATAGCAGGAGCAAGCTCAACACAGAAAACCAGGCAAAGATACCATTAATAGTCCATGCTGACATCACTTGAGTCTCTGGAAATCTAAAGCTGTGGACCAGACTAGACTGATCTCCCTCAGGACCAACCAGAGTGGGCTTTGAAGAGCAGCAAGCAAACAAAAGAACAGAGAGAGAGAGGATTGTGGGGCAACTACTTGGATGAATGGCCTGAATAAACAGACCAAGAAAACACAGAGATAAATATCTTCCACCCCCCCACCTCCCTACCCCCCAAGAGCCCAGAGTAATAAAGGAAATAACATCAAAGTGAGCAATCAGATTGCCAGAAGGAAATAGCAATTTTACAAAGAATTTCAAAAGTTCCAAGGATCAAGTTCTGCAGGCCAGGAAAAATAATAAGAATAAAGAGAATGTCTAGATAAAACTTGTTAGCCCTGTCAACATGTTCCGAGGGAAATATGCAGTCTGAAACTGATCTGACTTGCCGCCAATGTCATCCAGTTGTGGTATCTCTGTACCCTGGAGGAAAACTAAGTGACCTTTCGATTCGGAACAGCTAGAGATAAAAACAGTTGCAATGAGGAGAAAGCCAGAAAGCTGTGGGCCGCAGAAGACTCTTAGGAGAGGTCTCCAAAGGCCTTTCTGCTTCCCTTCTGTGTTAGTCTTTATCAGGAAACAGCACACAGGATGGGGACAGGAAAGCTGGCACAGAAGGGCTCAGGGTTTAGACTGTTTTACCTCTTGGCACAGAATGCAGGGAGATCATCCAAATGTTACCCAGGCTTCCTTCCATGGGAATTCATGTAACAAAATGTATCCTAAAGTTCCTGCTGCATGCTTTACCCCATCCTACAGTTTGTAGCAAAGT